GTGTTTCTTTTATGCCCATTTGGAACAAATATTTGCACTTACTTAGACTTTTTAGCCCATTTAGATTGCTTGATTTTGTACTTAGAGACTGGATTTAAGTTAATTGAGCAAAATTTAGTATCTATCACAACTCACAGCTTTTTGTCTTAAAGGTAAAGCAAAAAGTAGAAGAAACTACAATATGCTTGGTTTGGGAGAACCTTAAAGGGATGAGTTCATTAAGTTAACTTAGGTATGAAGATATAAATAACTTACATCAAAAGTATTGTTGGTGTTTGTCTTATTATTCCTTATAGTGGCCGAAATTTAATGGTTTTAGCAGTGATTTACCCTGTGGTTTAGTGACCCTATATGCTGTAATTCGGAATATTTATTATTTAAGCGCATCCTCAAGGTAAATACTAGATTTGTGTGTAACATATAATTGATGGCTTTAATTAGTTTCACCAACTTGGTTATATTAGTAGGAAGACTTAGAGTAACGCATCTAGTCCGGAGTTCATTGTATGAATCATAATTTCCCAAGTCGGACCATGGACATGGTAGAAAAGGGCACACCACACTATATTTAAATAGGCAAAGAAAAATTGTGATAGTGAAGGCGTGATACGAGAATATAGGAGAGGTGAATAGTCCTGGACAAAAGGAGAGAAACCATAACTGTTTAGTACACATTTCGTCAAAGTATCGGCTTCGCTTGTCTCTTTGACGAATTGTAGTATAATGCTAAGAATGGCAAGACTCACTGACGATGCCGACTGCTATGCCGGCGAAACGTCTGGGAATGTACTACGTCCATATATAGAATAGAAGGAGCGACTTTTAGAAGATCTTAGACTGAGCTGATGAATGGTTAGGTGACTTTAGAAATTATCCTGCATATAATAGACTCCGGACTACGTGTGTTCCTCTAGATCTTTCTACCAATATGACCAAGTTTCCAAAACAAGCTCAAACAACTTCTATACAACGAAAGGTGACTGCGACCACACAAAGAGCCACATCATCTTAGTCTTCATACCTTCGTTTAATTAGTTTCGAAATCCCTTAAGAAAATTTTACTATTACATCACTTTCTTTTGCAATTTTCATATTGAAGAACCTGTTCAGTTAAATGTTAAGGGGTTCCGTGTCCACTAGATGGGCTGCTTCATAGGTCACGTTTCCTCAAGCTAATAGTAACGCTAACATTGAAATTATATGTGCGCTAATACTTTATTTGCTATGAGAAATCGGCTTTATGGATCAGATTCATCACTTTCGTATGGTGTTACAGATATTGATAGCTTCATAGGCAAAATTAATTTAAAAAATTCATGATTTCATATTGAGATTTACTAGAAACCGTATCCTAAAAGAGTTCCCACATCCAGGTGACTGTACCTTCGATCTGGCCTTGATCCTATCAGCAAACCAAAAAAGATCCTAACCGTGAGTGCTCCAGTACGGTGGCATAATCTTCAACACGAAGGCAAACTGGTTCGAAAGAATGTTTATCATCATGCTCTTGATTGTACTTTCGCACTATTATTTCGGAAATTTCTATGTATGTAAGACTGACATCTCGGTTCGGCATAATAACATAAAAATGTGTTTAGTTGAAACTATCTGTATTAAGACCACGTAACTTGTTCTGGCCTGCACATGCATAAATGAGCTCATTTATATCGCCAATCACTCTTCCCTGTCCCTGTTGCTATCCTGGAGAGTGGAATGCATGAATTACTCGCTCGTTGAGAGCTATATTTTCATTTAAAGCTTTGCTTGACTAAATACAGGTTTCTTCGATTAGTAGTATACGAGTTTTTGGCTTTATATCATGATCTTAAACTCGGTATCTCTTTAACTTATTTAAGATTTCCGCTTCTGTCCATTGAATCTGCTATTTTTTATATCCGAAACCAGCGATACAGGCAAATCGTTTTATCACAAAATTATCTGTAGATCCTTCACTAAATTTGTATAACTCTCCACGACTGTGTCATTTAATGATGTTATTATAAAGATTTTAAAACACGTAATATAGCTCTTCTCCCTTTGCTTCTGACTCCTATTTTCATATCTCATTATAAGTCCTTGTTTTTTTAATAAAACATATTTATGTAATCAACATAAAGTTATTGCCTCCTCTTTATATTTGTCCAGGTGAAGATAAACTTCACTTTGCAATTGAGGAGATCTCTCGAATTGAAAGTCAGCGGCACGAGCAAGCACTTGAAGTTAAACAAGCAATCATCGAGCGGCTTGAATTGGCCTCGCAGCAACTGCAAAAAGTAAGTTTGCACTTTCTTTCATCTCAATACTGAACTGGCTATCACAAAAAGGCATCAAAACGTAACCAAGGTTGACCAGTTTGCGATAATATGTCACTTGTTGTAGAAATGAATTGAAGTCTAGATATTCAATGAATATCATAGTAAAAAGTCTTTGCCTCTAAACCTGTTCTGTCACTGGA